TATTACCAAGAGCGGACCCTCTTCTATAGTCTAGGCACGAACGACCCGCTCTATGAACGAATGCTGGAGGGCCGGAATCTTAACAGGGAATCAAAGCGGCCCAAGCTGCAGCCCTAAAACCACTTCCTGGAAAGTCCGTCAAAGTTACCGGAAGTACCATAGCAAGATAGACAATACCTTGAGCTGGCCCCTCGACAGCGTTTGGAGACTGGTCACTAGGTGGTGTTGTCTTCAAAGTAGACACTAATCGCGCAAGACACCATGTTCTTGTATATGCTTCGCCAGTGAGCAGGTAGGCTGTACAGTGTAGATTTCCAACGGAAGCTTGGCATTAATCTATTCTGAGTCTAACCATGTGGACTTTTTCAAGTTCTTGTTTGTTGCAAAGTCTTGAAAGTGCACACTGATAAGCGGAATACCAAAGTAGCCTATGGAAGCCATGCAGTCAAAAGCTCGATCGGGCATACTGAAGAACCCAATCTGGGCTCCTATGCTCATGCCACGTCAAGCTGGCTACGAGGCTCGGCGGGCTTGAATCTTGATGTGTACTGATAGATTGGTAGAGGAGAGCAAGCATGGTCGGACCTTGGACACATGGCTAGATCTATGATGTCCTGCCGCCCTTCCTCGCAAACACGGCACAAAGCTGGGTTTCCAGTTCTGAACGGTTTTAAGGGTGCAACTTTGGCCATGAAACAAGAAGAGGGATATGCGATACGGACGTGTTACCACTAGCAGGGCCTGCAGAACAAATATTCGAGGGTGCTTGGGAACATAAAGTGACTGATGACTGGATGTAACCAGATAAAGGACACAGCGCAGCAAGTACGAGAGCCTCTCGCCACGCCACTGCTGGTGAGAAAGGTAAGCCTACGAACAGGATCGGCTTGGGCAAGGTGCGACTGACAATGTCTCATTTACCCTGTTTACATGCGTTAATTTCAACAGTTTCCGCCACTTTTTTCTCCAACGTGGCAACAATGTCCTAAAGGCATGTGAATGCAAAACGCACGTGGTCAAAAATTGGACCTGGTTGGAGCTGGGCAGCAGTTGCTGTTTGAAAATTGAAAACTAGCACATCCGAAATCGCCGGCTCTTTTCAAAGACGCGGGTCCAGACCTGCGTATACAGTATTCTCCGGCAGTTTCGGGTTACTTTTGGGGTTTCTGATAAACCTGGTTCCCTTAAGTACCGGTAACACTTTACCCAAATCAGTGCAAGTCATGCCCAGGAGCACAACCGCGGTCGGCCACCCGGTTGGCCGAATGTCTTTTTTCATTCTGCAGCCCGCACTTTCAAAACAAACCTCGACTTGGAAAACCGCGGTGTTCCAAGATTGTCGGAACAGGCGGCAAGTGGCCAAATCTTGGACGCATGTGAGCACTGCAATCCGCAGGAAAGTACTGCAACCGGTTCCTAGATCATAGAAACCCAAACCCCCAACCTCAATCAGAAGCTCCCAGGACCAGCAAGTAGATAACTCGCCAATCTTACCTCCAGATTGTCGATAATATCCTCTAGGAGGTGCGCCTTTCCGGCCGCCATGCCGTGTCCCTCGTCTAATTGCAAGTGGGTGATGTGGACGTGGAGGTGGTAGTAACTAGGCTGGTAATGCATGTAACACCGCAGCTCATCGGCCGCGGCAGCATACTTTGAAGTGACGGCATGAATCGCTTTTGACCTGTGTAGGGCAGAAGGCACGAAAGGGTCCAGTTTGTGAGTCGAGGTTTACAGCCGCCATCAATGAGTTGCTCTAAAACTGTGTCCGATATGAATCTTCCTGACGCTTGTTGTATGCAGCCATTTGAAAAGGACACTGTGACGGCCACTGGAAGAAGACACCGGAGTGACACCGAGCAAAGCACTGAGAGGGCCTTTCAATGTTTGCATTTTTGCACCTGCCAAAACTGAGAACCTTGAGCCAGTTTAACAATCTGAGGGGACGAGACCTTGAAACCTCATTCCAAAGTTAGCGATCTCGAATCAATTGCAGAGCCTCCTGACACCATCCGTTCCCAGATCTTTAAAAAACAACCGTAACCTTCTGCTGGGGCTACCAGAACTGCCAACGCTTCAGCTTTTTCCAAACTCATCTTCCTACCACAGTTCCACAACAGTTCGTAGCCAGTCATCCTCTTGGTGACCAGAACAGCATTTGTGACTGCTGGGTTGGGGAAGGTCAGTGTGTCAGGGGGAGCCAGACAGAACCTACGTTTGGGGTTGCTCTACATCATGCAAAGAAATTTCGCCGATGAAAGGGCTAGCACTTATCAAGGCCCTCTGAAGGACTGTCACTCACTAGAGGTTTTTCAACAAGGGCAGGTGGGCTTGCGTCAGGTCTCGGAGAGAGTGGAGATCACGGCGGTGGACAATTGCCATGCAGTATAGGGACTCCACCTGCAGGGGAAGACATGTCAGTGGACTTTGACACGGAGTAACGGGGGAAACAGTCAGGTAATACAGATTAGAAGGAGAAAACAACCAAGAATATTTGTCTTCGGGCTGTCAAAATCAGGGGTGGCGAAACATGACTCCTGCGGTTTATGACACCTTGGCCTGAAGCCAAAATCTCCAGCCCTCAGAGCCGCCATCTCTCTGACACAGTCCTAGCGATAGATGGGAAGGTTCGGAGTCTATGCCAGGGCAGACTCTACTCTGTGGTCCAGAGGTTCGCACTCATCTCAGTCTGTACTCAATGGAAACGGAGAGTGGAACAACAAGAAGCTTCATAGTCGGCATGCTGCTTTTTCGGACTCTAATACGACGACATCATAAACGTTTGGATAAGTGAAGGCAAAAGCAGCAGCATCGGTGCTCGTCAACTCACAACAACACATCTTTTGCCGGTCCTTCATGTTGACGCTTGTCCGAGGGCCGCCCCTGACGGTTGGTTGTGCCCCTTTGTAAGACAGTCCTTGAAGCGTCAAAGGCCGAAACCCCAGGACTCTGACATCCAGAACATTGATGCATGGAAAATGGGGCTTACGTGCTTCTGGTCCCACTTGAGGTCGGGGAGGAGAGTGAAGCCAAGTTGCGGATCCGGGTCCTCGAAGATGACTCGTTCTGCTTCGGCTTTCTTCTCCAATATGTTGTACACCCACTGAAAGACCGATTGGACTGACATGATCATCCAGGAGAATCTTGTGCATTACAACCTGTCACATTGCTTTATCTCTATTTTAACAAGAGCTGTGCCACAGACACTCTCATCTTTTAAGAAAAACCTGGTATCTACCGAGCAAGTAGCTTGCACTTGTCCACGCCACTCACAAGTGGCGTCACTACTTGCTCGGTCGCCCGGTTACTGTCCGTACTGACCACCGACCCCTTCTCTATCCCTTGAAGCTAGAATTTATGAAGGGGCGACACCACCGGTGGGAGGAGCAACTCGCCCAGTTTAACCTCCACCTAGTGTGCCGTGAGGGCCGCCTCAACGTCGTCCCCGACGCCCTATCTCGCCGCCCTGACCACAAACCTGACCCGCCCACTGACCAACCTGTCCTTGCAGCAGTGTCAAGTCTCCAACGTGACCCTGCTTTCTTAACTGCCGTTAAACAGGCCACTACCGCAGATTCCTTCGCCCAGATGGCCGTCAGCCGCATGATTCTCGCTGACACTACCTTCGAATCTTACTCCTTCACTGACGGGCTACTCTATAACTCTGACAGGTTATACATTCCCCCAGTCCCCGAGTTACGCAAACGCGTGCTCGAAACACACCACGATTGTAACTCCGCCGGACATTTCCGCATGGACAAGACTGAGGAGTTACTCACGCGCTCCTTTTATTGGCCTGATATGCAGAAGGAGATTCGTGCCTACGTACGGACCTGCGACAGCTGTAGCCGCAACAAACCCAGCAACCGCCGCCCGGGGGGTCTTCTTCAACCTATTCCAATCCCCCAGCAACGCTGGGAGCAGATCTCTATGGATCTGATCACCGGGTTGCCAAAGACCCCGCGCGGAATTCCGGTGTTGTCGTATTTGTCGATCGCTTATCTAAACAGGTCTTAATTGCCCCGATCTCCGATGACACCACCGCCCCAGTCATTGCCCAGGTTTATTTCGACACGGTATATCGCCATAAGGGTCTCTCCCGAGTCATCATTTCTGACCGCGATCCCCGCTTCACTTCCCACTTCTGGCGCACAGTCTTTCGCCTACTAGGCACATGTAACGTTCAGGTGTAACGTCACAGTAAGGTTGGTGGATTATGCTGTTGGTGGGTTATGCTGTTGGTGGATTATGCTAAGCGAGCGCTCTACCATAAGTCATGTAGTTAGAACATAAGCTATGCGACGGCTAGGCGCGCGGCGCGCAGCCGGGGTTTAAGAGTTACGACGCGACGGCGCGGAGCGCGCCAGTGCGCGCTACGGCTAGCTTGTAACGGCTCTCGAGGTTTATACAACTTCGCATCGTAAGCTTTGTTCCGCTGCTGCAACTTGGACTCTTGTCAAGATGACTATGGGTCTATAGAAAGTCTGAACGGCTTTCAAG